AAAAAAAAAAAAAAAAAAAAAAAAAAAAAAAAAAAAAAAAAAAAAAAAAAAATCATTACGAACGACATAGTCAACAAACAAGACAGCGTAGCAAAGTTAGGATCCGATTTTGATTGTTGCTTTAATTGCCAAATGTTGCATTTTTCAACATTAATATAAGAACATGGCACGTTATTCTATAAATATATTTTAAAATACAATTTATTAAATTATAACATAATATTACTTAGTATATATCATTGTATTCACAATTATAATAAAATTTATTAATTATGATATTTTGAATTTAAATTCTGTATTGATCAATAATTATATATATATATATATATATATATATATATATATATATATATATATTTAAATTTCATATAATCGACCAATTGAAGGGCAAATTTGACATTTCTCCATGCCCATTCAAAAGTCAAGCTTCCATGTACCTTATCTTAAAATTGCACCAATAAAAAAATTATTAAATATTTAATTTTTAATGGAAATATTAAATAAAACATGTGGATAGCAAGTACCTTCATACATAATTCAGTGTTTTTTTTTTAATTTAATTAATTTTTAAAAAATAATGAACTAATAATCCATAATATTAAGTAGTAAAATATGAAATTAAAAAAACTCATAATAAAAAAAAAAAGCTTATTATAATTTTGTACTATATGTTTAAATTTAGAATGATGCTATAAAAAGGTTTAGTTAAAAAAAAAAAAAAAATTAAATTCAGAAGCCAAATTAAAAATATGAAATAAAAAAATATAAAATTTCAATTATATTATGGATAATTACATAACGTCGTGGAAAAGAAATAAAACGACTTTTTTTTGGCATTTAGTTTTCATTTTCCATTTTGAGAAGCAACTCTGTTTTTTTTTTAAAGAAAATAACAACACAAGAATCCGGTTTTTATTTTTTTGGATTAAACCGATTTTAAGTCGGTTTATTTTATTGGTTTGGTTCATGTTTTTAAATTTGCTCATAAGTTTAATGGAGGTGGATGGTGTGGCATTTTTAAAAAATGAAATAATAAAAAAGCAATATTAATTTTTTGGTCTAAATTAATAAAAATATTCATAATTTTTATATTTTATCTTAATATATATATATATATATATATATATATATATATATTTAAACTGTCGGAGTTTTCATTAATAATATTTTAAAAAATAATAAAAGAAAAAAAATGTAAACTTGAATGATTAGACCTCAATGGTATTTTTAATAACTTAATAATATTTTAATTATTGCGTTAGTGGAGTATAGAAAATAAATCGAACCGGACCGGGTCCACTACTTTTAACGACAATAGCCGCGGAAGGACGGAAATCTCGAAAAGGTAAAAGAGTCTTGAAGCCGGACGTCTTCTTGTACACTCGTTCGTGTATAAAAGTAGGAAAATCAAAGTCCATTTCTTCTGCCCTGCTCTCGGATTCTCAGATAAGCTTTTTCTGGTGAGAGTTTTGATCTTGTTTGCTTGTCATTTTCATCATCTTGTTTATTAGCTTCTTCCTATTTTCAGACATATTGTTGTTTTGAGCAAGTTCTGGGAATTTGGGTATCAACTTGCCGTGACATTCTTCAACATTTCGACTGTTTCTTGTGAAATTGTTTATGTGTTGGTTTTATTTCTAATGAGTTTCTTAGTTTTCTGGTTTTATTCTTTACTTTTGTGTGTGTGTGTGTGTAGAATTTGTATGGGTATCTTGGGTTACCTCGTTTTGCAGCTTTGTCTTTTCCTCAAACCTGATATCTCATATGAACTTGGGAATGAATTGATTGGCTGGTTGATATAATCTATAATCTATGTTTGCTTTGGAATTTGGGTTATCTTTTTGTTCATTTTGAGGTCTTAAGACAAGTTTCTTTAATTAAACGTATTGGATAAGAATTTGGGTTACCTTATTTACTTAGAATCAAATCTTTTGGTTTGTGTGCTTGGTTAGATGAACACAACTCTCCACAATGATATGATATTGTCCACTTTGAGCATAAGCTCTCATGGTTTTGTTTTGTGTTTCCTCAAAAGGCCTCAGACCAATGGAGAGAGTATTATTTGATTATAAACTCAGGATCATTCCCTAAATTAGCTGATGTGGGACTTTCATCCAATATCCAACACCTCCCCTCGAACAAAGTACGTCTCCCCTTAATCGAAGGTCAACTCCTTTTTCTTTTGGAGTCTAGTCATTTTTTACTATGCCTTTGAGGCGGGAGGCTCGATTCCTTTTTCTTTTGGAGTCCTTTGTTCGACATTTGAGGATTCTATTGACATGGCTAAGTTTAGGGCATGACTCTGATACCATGTTAGATGAACACGACTCTCCACAATGGTATGATATTGTCCACTTTGAGCATAAGCTCTCATGGCTTTGCTTTGGACTTCCCCAAAAGGTCTCAGACCAATGGAGAGAGTATTATTTGATTATAAACCCATGATCATTCCTTAAATTAGCTGATGTGGGACTTTCATCCAACATCCAACATCCAACATGCTTCACTATATGATTGATCAAATTGCATGAAAGGATTCCAATCGTGTTCATGGTCTATTCTCTGATTCTCAGTTACTGAACAGTTTAGAACGGTGGGAAGTTCATTTCTTCAAATTTTATGCCAATAACTGTACAGGATGCATAAACATGTTGTTTGAAGTGTATTTGCTTTGATTTTCTGATTTCTAATTGTTTTTTTTCCAGCTGCATAGTTGTTGCTCAAAATGGTTGATGCAAAGTGTACAATAGCTAAAGATGTTACTGAAGTGAGCCACTGCCTCCCTTTCCCTCTTCTTTCTCCTGTGGATCGAAGGATTGGTTTAGATTATTACCAAGAACTTCAACTCAGTCCATACCTTTTTCATATCTTAATATTTTCAGCTAATTGGTAAAACACCACTTGTATATCTCAACCGTGTTGTCGATGGGTGTGTGGCCCGGGTTGCTGCCAAGTTGGAGGGGATGGAGCCTTGCTCCAGTGTCAAAGATAGGTACTTTTTTTTTTTATATTTTTATATTAGTTTATGTTTTTTTTTCTTTTATAATTATGATAACCCAAGAACTGGCCTTATAATTTATGTAACGATATTGATGCTGCATTTTCTTGCCACAGCTGAACATAGAAGCGCCATCTTTAATACTTTTGGGGGAAACCATATTTCATTAAGAAGAT